GAAAGCTTTGCTAAATCAAGGCCTAAGCAGGGGTGATTTAGGTAGGTACGGATTTTAGAATTTCTCTCGTCGTATCCCTCCTACTAGTCGGGCTAATCCCGGCGTTTACCTTTAAATATGTTTGCTCCCATGTTAAGTTCCTTAGGCCAACTCGAGATAAATCTATAGATTGAGGGGAAAATTTTTCCAAAAAATGTGTCTATCTCAACAAAATGGTTTTTTTTCGACCTCAGGCACCCATTTTCTGCGGTGAACTCATGCCACTTGAAAGTGATGATTCAGTGCTGCCACATACGCCGTTAGTGATTCTGCGTTCGAGATGGGCTACTGTAGGAGCATCATAGGTCTCAAAAGACTAAAGGATGGGAATATGTTTTATATGACTTGGTTAGGTGGTTAAATCTCTCCTTCTAAATCAGAAATCGTTCAATTTTGTGCAGCTGATCGTTCTTTGAACTGTTTACTGCGATCAGTGACAAGTTCTTTTTTCAATTGTTTTGTAAAGTGAAGACACCATGCTGAACAGCTGCGAGGTCGCAGTCTTCCGTTCGGCCCGGTTCAAAGATGCCATTTTATCGCGTTCGTCAGAAGAAAAGAATAACTTTGAGAGAGCCGAAATTCACATGAAGTAAAAGTGTGTTCAGGTAACGGTTGTGAGCGCCGAGGGGTGGACTGGAAGAACACACCGGTTCTGCTGACTGGCGAACTCTTCTCAACAGGACCAGAGTTTTCGAGGTTAATAGTTTTTTCCTTCAATAGCTTTCTAGAAATGAGGCTGGAAACGAGAAAAAATTCTCCTATTGCCAATTTGTATGAATTATAACCTTTTGAAGGCACGTGTCGCCATTGAAGTGGCATGTTATTTTGCTAGGAAATCGGACAATAATTGCGATGAATAACGTAAAGAGGAGAAAAACCAAGAAGCCCAAAGAGGACACTGATATATTCTTAGTGAGGTGTGGTAGGGCTGAGAGACAAAGCTTTTCCGGGGAGAGGGAAAACACGAGAGAGCACGCCGTACGCGAGAGAGCACAGAAGCCACGTAGCCGCGATTGATAGCGAGCGGACGTTATGTGTGCTGCGACTGGCAAGGGTGGCAGCGGTCGCAGCGGTAAAGAAGGTAAAGCGAAGGCCTTAGTTCGCTTGTCGCGCAGTTCAGGTGGCCAGTACCACCACTCCTGTCACTAGGAGTCCTGCTACATAGTCATATGGAGAGTTCTTCAAGATTTTAATGCCACCCGTGCCTTTAAATCTCACTGGTTAATACTTTTGCATCTAGTCAATCCCCCTTTTAGATGCACCCTCTCAAAAAAAGAATTCAGTGCCCTAGATCCGCACTTTTTAAGCACACCATGAGGCAGTAATAATGTATTCGAAATGCTGACGTGGAAGGAGCTTTCTGGCAGTGCGCCGTGATTGCGCTTGCATGCATGTGTTTGTCTATTTCCATCCTTCCATGCGCCAAGCGAGTATGAAGGAGCAGAATCTTGCTTGTCGGGGACTCATAAGTAACCCGAAGCGTGTGTGCATTGGTCTGTCTCTCATAAATCCACCGAATTGCAAAAGTATCTGATTGCATAAGGTGTCCGCGAATTGTACTGGCCATAAGTGTTAGCCAAAACGGTTTTCCATGCTTCTCTTTTTTTTGTCAGAAAATATCAATGGTAACCTTGGAAATTTTTTTCTTTTGAATATCC